GTTCCAAGGTCGCCCTCCCGTGCTTTTTCCTTGCATCTCGCCCGTCCGCGCCACGGACACAGTAGGCGTAGGAAGCCGTCCAGATGCCAGGATACGACCCCGTTCGCGATGCCGGTGGGTCGGATCGGTCCTCGCCTCCACCGCCCCAACATCACTTCGGCAACGACTCTCGTCCGTCATCCTCCGCATCAGCCTATCCGCATCACCCGCATTCGCACTACGACGACACCTCGGCTCCTCCGCGTAGTCTGTCTGGCAACAGCCTCGGCCGCTACGACGGATATGCTGACGACGAAACTCGATTTCGTCGACCAAGCGTCCACGACATCATCGCCGGCCCCGCCACGGTGTCTCCTCGCTCCTCGTTCACCCCGTATCCTCCTTCCGCTGCTGATCATGGGCCGCAGCGTCATGACCAGTACTACCATCAAACGCATCATGCCGAGCCACCACCGCAGCCTCCGCCTCGCCGTAGCGCTTCCATCGCCGACCTCATCGCTGTCAGCGAAATGTCCGACGCCGAGCACGACAGGCATCGCGAAGCACACAGATGGCCTCAACGTCACGCCGACGACACCACGGCTGGTCATGGTATGAGTAGGTCCAGCAGCGCATCCGGCGGCTTCCACGCCGCTCCGACGCACGACCACCCAAGCTCGTCGCATTCGCGCATCTCCCCGCATCACCCACGCCAGCCGGATCGATCCGAGCGCAGCCCAAGCATGGCGCATCTGCTCAACGACGGCACCGCCGGCGCACTTCACGATAGGCCAAGGTCGAGCTCGCACTCTTCCATAGCCTCTCACGCCTCGCATCCTGCCCCGCCTCACACCAGCCAGATGTCGCCCTTGGGCCCGCCGTCTTCCCACCATACAGCCTCCACCACGGGTCCGCATGGCCGCGACAGGTCCCTTGGCAGCCAGCCGCTTGGTAGCAGCGCCGGCCCATACCGAGGAGGCTCGCCCTCGAGTATCTATCCGCCCGGTGCACACCCACAGAGCTTATCCACCCTCAACCGAGGCGGCTCCAGTCCCGGGCTCGCATCCTCGCAATTCGGCCATCCTGCCGAAAGAGCTCGTTTCGCATCGCACTCGGGCTCCGTCGGCCATGGTCACCTGCCGCGTTCGGCGTCCAATTCGTACGCCCACGCCAGCGCTTCATCGAGTCCAGCCTCGAATGTACATGCGCATCTGCAGCCATCGCCATCCCATCGCTTCGCCGTGCCTGAGCTGCCCTACTCTCGCTCGCCTGAGACCAGGCGCGTGCCCTTGCCCCAATCGCCCACCGCCCTGCACAACCCTCATCCGCGCACGTCCCTCGTTCCCGGGCCTGCGCAGGCATGGCATCCTGACGACAACGAAGCCTCTCCTGCCGGCATGCCTCCGCCCTCGATGAGCGCGTCTCCACGACGGGGAAGCCTAGCAGGCACAGGGCATGCCATCCACCGACATCAGCCTCCCACACCCGGAAACGGTATCCCCACCACCCCAGGAAGCGTGGCCTCTCTCGGCGGCTATCCGATCACGCCTGGCTCACGTTCCGTGCCTTCGCACACGCCGAACGCCCCCTATCCCCGCCACTCGGCCGAGTCGCAAGCGGAAAGCAACTACTTCCCCGTGGTCGAGCCACGAGCATCATCGCTCCATCATGCATCGCCACGTGAAGACACGGCCAGCCTTACGAGCCCGCATCTGCGTCAGCACGAACATGCGACACAATCCGCGCGTACGGACGAGGTGCACCATCGCAATTCTCACTACGAAGCTTCGTCTGCTGCTGGACGTACGCCGCTTGCAGCTGAGCGACCAGCCGGGAGCGACCGGTCAAGTGCGTACCCATCAGAACATCCTGCACCGATTTACGATGCTGCTATGCATTCGAACGACGATGCTGCCACACATCCGCATTCGCGCAGGCAGAGCATCGCAGAGGACGGGGACCGCCCGTTTTCGAATGGGCGCCACCGTAGGGAGTCGGAGCCTACCTACGACCACAGCGAGCCGGAGCACAGGTACGACCGCAACAGGCGCACGCCCGCTTCGACGATCCCGGGCTACGATGACCTGCACGACGCCAAAGCGGGCGTTGGGAACAGTCATGCCATCTCGCATCCCAGCACAGTCCCTTCTCCGAAGAGATTGGGTCACGAGCAGTCAGAGGAAGCTGACTGGAAGGTCGAACGTCGCGAAGCTAACGGTCCCTCGTCAGCTCGGCCATCTTCTCGCCATGACACGGCATCCGAGAACGAAGAATCGAGGGTGGCCAAGGGTCAAGATCATTCTGCGCCGTCCGAGCTTCATGACGATGCCTCGGAGAAGGCTGCATCGGTGCGTGCTCCAGAGGGCCAAGAGACCGCCGACAGCGAGACCGTCTCGCACGCAGTTATCGAACCTTTCCCTCGATATGCACCAACACGGCGAGTTTCGCAGCCGAGGCAGGTCATGAGGCCGATCGGCATCGAAGAGATTGATCGCAAGCGCGCGCAATGTCGAAACCCTCTTCGTCGCGAGTGGGAACGACAGCACCAGACGGACAGTCGAGAACCGCTGGATGGGATCTTGCGCGACTTTATGTCCAAACTCGAGCGCTCGTCAGGCAGGGGTGGCGATCCAGCCAGTCGAGACCCCGCCGCGGTGGAGGCCAAGAAGCGGGCCATCGGAGAGACGCTCGAGGATGCCGAAGAGGTGGCGGACCACTACAACAAGCGAAGGGAGGTGGGAATCCACGGTCGCGAGGAGTCGCCCATCATTGCACTGCGCAAGTTCAACAACTGGGTCAAGTCGGTGCTCGTCGGGACCTTTGCGCGCGGACGCGATCCTCATCTGGACGGCCGCGCCCGAGCACGCGGAGGACGCGTGTTGGACCTCGGATGCGGCAAGGGAGGCGACCTCAAAAAGTGGGAGAAGGTGCGCCCGAGTGGTCTGGTGGGTGCCGACATCGCGGCCGTGTCGATCGAGCAGGCCATCGCGCGCCACCAGGAGAGCAACCGAGGATTCCCCGGCGACTTCTTTGCATTCGACTGCTTCTCCAAGTCGCTCGCCGACGTCATCCCGCTCGAGCTGCTGGAGCCCATGTTTGACAATGTGACGCTGCAGTTCTGCATGCACTACGCATGGGAGAGCGTAGACAAGGCGCGGATCATGCTGGACAACGTTGCACGATACCTGCGAAAGGGGGGCACGTTCATCGGCACCATCCCCGACAGTCGCGAGCTGCGCGACCGCATGGCGGCCAGCAGACATCCGGAGGATCGCTCGTTTGGCAACCGATACTACAAGGTCATCTTCGACCAGACGGAATCGTGGCCAGCATTTGGTAACCGATACACGTTCTTCCTGGAGGATGCGGTGGAGAACGTGCCCGAATACGTGGTGGACTTTGACGTGTTTGAAGAGCTGGCGTACCAAGCGGGACTGCGATGCATCTACCGCAAGAACTTCGCAGAGATCTATCACGAAGGGTCGCGACAGGGCGAGTATGGCAAGCTGCTCCAAAGGATGGGCGTCGTGGACGACTACGGCACGTTGAACGTCAACGAAGACATGTGGCAAGCAGCGACCCTCTACCTTGGGTTCGCGTTCGAGAAGATGTAGGCGACCATGCCAACATGCAATCCTTCGCGCGGCAAGGTGCTCATACACCTCGAGCAGCAACCGTTGCAGTGTGTCTGCCATCCTGTTACCATCCATTCAACACCTGCCTGAGGCTGGAGAATGAAGTCTGCCAATCAAGCTCGCACCATGACTGTGCTCTCAATTTGCCGTCTAGACACGCGTTGCTTTTCCGCCTGCGTGTACTGCGTGCGAGCCGCAAACGTTCGTGATCGGGGGTTTGATGGACCAGGGATGCCCAATTGAAGCCGTGTCGGTCCTGAGCAACCGTCTGCATGGCTTGCTCAGAAGCCTTCGAGTCGAGTCACGACGAGGCTGGGTCGAATTTCGCGCCAATTTTCATCTGTGAGGCCTGTCGTGCTCACACGTTTCTCTATTATTACCGCTTTTTCATGCGCTCTGAAAACCAAGCGGCAGCCTCGCGGCACTCTGGTCTGGATCGGCCAAGCACGATTGGCAATGCCGTGTGACTTCGGCGGCCATACCACAAAGCCGCTCTTACATGACAGGCCTCGAACCGTGAACACCGGGATCGGACTGGCTTTTTTTTGCGCTGTGTTTGGGAAGCGTGGATCGCCCCGATGCACGAATCAGCAAGCCGACCAGGAACTGGGGATCAGATGTCTCGGCGTGGAGGAGGGAAACAGTGGCAGGAGACATGAAAGGACGGAGCCCTGCAAGCACTTGCCAAAGCACGTTCGGCAGAGGACCGAAAACCGGCAGGGCGCCGAAGGGCTTCGGGGATGGATGGGCGAGGTCAGCTTAGCGGAGGCTCGCTCCAGCCAGGACGGGCGGGGCCACATCTTGTTTCGTGCAGACGAGCCTGCGGCCTCCGATGCCATGGCTCCGGCGCAGCGTTCACCCTCGACCATCGGCCATCCATTCCGACCTTTGATCCTTTCGACGACACCATTGCCTCCTGTCCTTCACCCCATCTCCTCTCACCTTTGGTGGCCACGGGCTCGAACCCCCATTAGACCACAATCTCCTCCTCGGGCGCTCATCAATCGTTCTCGGTTGCCGGCTCGTCGATCTCTTGTATAGCCTCACACTGGGATTCCCCAACACGACTGCTGCTCTGTCTCACACGGATCTTCTCACCCCGCTGCGGCTCGACTTCGACGGCAACGGCCACTGATACGCTCTCTCGCAAAACATGTCGCGGCAAACGGTGAGTTTCTTCTGCCCGAGCTGCACCACGACGCTGACTGGACCTCGCCTCGGCCTGCCCAGTCGGCAGCATCCGAGACGCGCCAATGCTGACTCTACCGATCCGCTTGTCTCTTTCTTGCTGTGGCTGCGCCGCCTCCCGCCTCGGATGCTTGCTCGCGACGACTCTCGACGACCCGCTCGGATGCCAACCGCGCCCCGAACCAGCCCACTGCTCCGATGCCCCGGATGACCGACTCGCAGGCCGGGCCGGGCGGCCCCTCTTCGCTCAAGTTTGCCGCTCTATCGGTGCAGAGCTTCCACCTCGATAGCCCGCCCTTCACTGGTGCGGCGGTCGGTGGCGCTGGCCCTCTCGATGAAGCCGGCCAGCGACTCTCCAGCCACGACTCGGATCCGTCTTCGCACGCGTCGGAAGCGTCCGGCTCATCGCATCATGCTCCCGGCAGCCCGCAGCGCACCACCCGACAGTCACGCACCGCTGGCGGCAGCAGTCCGCTATCCAAAGCCGCTTCCATCTCATCCGCCGACGACCAGGACCCCTACACACGCTCGCATTCGCAATCTCGCGTCTCGCCGCCCTCTCCGCAGTCGCACGATCCTAGCGTCAAGACACCGACGGCTGAAAGGCAGTCGCTGCTGAGCGGCATGACTTCCTCCTCCACCACCTCTGATGATGCCAATGGTGCCAGCTCAAGACACAACCAATCGGACGGCCGCACTCACACGAGCTCGCAGTACGATCGAGATGTACCGCAGTGGGATCTGGACGAAAAGCTCTCATCTCGCGAGGCGAGCTCGGCCAGTTTAGCAACCCTCTCGCCCAGCAAGCCTGTCCTCGGCCTCACCTCCACCGCCACTTCCGAGGCGGCTAAACGACCCAGCCCACACGGTTGGGAAGCCTCCGGTGAGGCGAACCACCGCGATGCTCATTCGAGCCGCGGCCCATCGGCCTGGGCACAGCGTACCAACAGCAGTCATTCCAGCCAGAGCCGAAGCTCGCCGGTGCCTCCATCCGCCGAAGATCGTCCGGCCTATTCGCAGTTCTCAGAGGATCTCGATGCGCAGGAGGATGCAGGTTCCTCCGCCGCCGAACGCGATGACGAGGTGGACGGCGTCGAGGGTCTCAGCCCAGACATCCGTCTCCGAGACGGCCGCGTACCCCAGCAGGGTCAGACCAAGGAGGACTACACCTTCCCGCGCCACCGCCTGCCCACCAAGATGCGCGACGAGTCCAAGACGCCGCTCGTGATCGTAGCTTGCGGCAGCTTCTCTCCGCCCACCTACTTGCATCTGCGTATCTTCGAGATGGCCAAGGACCAGATCATCGAGTCGGGCAAGTACGAGCTGCTCGCCGGCTACTACTCGCCCGTATCCGACTACTACAAGAAGGAGGGCCTGGCAAAGGCAACGCACCGTGTGCGCATGTGCGAGCTCGCCGTTGAAAAGACATCCACCTGGCTCATGGTCGATGCGTGGGAGTCGCTCCAAGACGAGTATCAGCGTACAGCTGTCGTCCTGGACCACTTCCACGAAGAGATCAACGGACCGACGGATGGCGGCGTCATCCTCAGCGACGGCAGCCGAAAGAACGTCAAGATCATGCTGCTTGCCGGCGGCGACCTCATCCAGAGCATGGGCGAGCCAGGCGTCTGGGCGACCGCCGATCTTCACCACATCCTGGGCCAGTACGGCTGTTTGATCGTAGAGCGAACGGGTGCAGACGTGTGGTCGTTCCTCCTCTCGCACGACCTTCTCTGGAAGTACCGCCGAAATCTCAAGATCGTCAAGCAGACCATCTACAACGACATCTCCTCGTCCAAGGTGCGCCTGTTTGTCCGTCGAGGTCAGTCCATCAAGTATCTCCTCCCGAACAGCGTCATCCAGTACATCGAAAAAGAAGGCCTTGTAAGTTGCATTCAGCCTCGTCCTGCCTCGCTCAAAGGTGGCAGCTGCCATGTTGCCAGCACGACACCGGCACGACACTGACCAGGTCTTGTTTGTCCCCTTCCCTGCGTAATACAATCATCAGTACCGCCTGCCACCAGACGAGGACCTCAAGGCCGAGCCCGAACACCCAAATTGGTGATGTCTATTCTCACTCTCCCTCTTTCACCAAAAAGTACGTCACTCGGCGAACCGCCATCACGCTTGCTTATATACCGGCTCGGAATAGAATTTCATCCATTTCCCAAACGTAGGGCGCTCGCTTTGATCAGGCGCACAACACAAAGCGTCAACAGACAGATTCGCGGCTGCATGTCTCCGTTGCCTAGCGTCGATCTCTGGGCGACGGCGTGCGAGATTGGGACGAGAAAGAGTCGCGTCTTCCGCGAGATAGTGGTCGCGATCGCGGCTCGCGGTCTTCGGCATCTGAGTACGATCGCTCCGAGCGCGAGGCGGAACGGTAGCGACGGTCTCGTGGCGCGTCAACGGATCGCGAGCGAGAGCGGGAACGCGACAAGGACCGTGAGTACGATCTTGAACGTGAGGTCGACCGCGAGTACGACCTCGATCGTGACCGCGAATACGATCGTGATCGGGACGAGTAGGATGCCGAGCGGGTGCGGCTACGTCCGCGACGCCGCCTTGGACTAGGCGTCCTGCTGCGGCTACGCGATGGACTACGAGTGAAGCTTCGCGATCGACTTCGGCTGACGCTTCGGCCTCGAGGTCTTCGGCTGCGGTCACGGCTGCGACTGCGACTGCGAGAAGAGCCAGAATAGGATGAGTAGGAGCGCGAAGAGTACGAACGCGAAGAGTAGGAGCCAGAGGAGTATGAGCGCGACCGCGACCGCGACGAACGAGACCTCGAAGAATATGATCTTGACGAGCGCGACGAGTATGAGCTGCGACTGCGGGAGCCAGTGCTGCTCGAGAGCACACTGGAGGAGTCGGTGTCGCTGTCATCGGAGCCCCTCGCCGCCAGCGCTGCCTGCCTTTGCGCAAGCAGGATCTTGGGTGCGTTTTTGAGGTGCTCGCGCATGTCCTCGGTCAGCACGCCCATGCCGATCGAGGTGAAGTAGTTGATGGAGAAACGGGTGTTCTTCGGATTGTCCTTGGGGAAGAGCCCCTGCCAGTGCTCCTGCAGGCTCGGCTCGCTGAAGCGTTCGGCGAGCGTCTTGAGGCTGAGCTGCTGCTGGATCTCTTGAAAGAGGATCTTGACAAAGATTCTCGAGCTGCTGGTCGTGTCCTCTTCGTTCATGTGGATGACGGAGAGCGCGGCCCAGCTCACACTGTCGGTCGAATAGAGGTGACCGAAGAAGCGCGCGATGTTGCGGAGGCGGTTGGTCTCGTATCGATGGATGGTGTCGTAGTAGTTGCGGAAGCTCTGTTCGAAGTTGTCGGACCACTTGCGATGGAGCTTGCAGAAGCGCTCGCCCATGTTGCCGTAGAACTTGCTGTAGGTGCGCTCCTGGGAGCAGCACTCTACGATCATGTTGCAAAGCTCAATGTCTTGACCTTCGGGAATCTCGAGCTTGAGGAGCTTGTGCACGCTCTCTTCAAAGTCGAGCGAGGACATGATGGTGAGATAGATGGTTCTCCTCAGGTTGGTAAGGTTGGTCTCGGTCCGGTCGTGAATCTCGAGCTGTCGCTGTGCAGCATCCGGGTCGGCTGCCTCGCTCTCGTCTGAGCTCGAACCAGTCTCGGAGTCCGCATCCGATCCGCCGTCGTCGCTGCCATCATCTTCGCCCAGGATCTCTGCCTTGATAGCTCGGTAGCGCTCCTCATTTTCAAGAAAATCCGGGTCGTTCTTGAAGACGTTGAGGCCCTCTTGGACGTTGAGCTGATCATCCAGACTGACGGAATGCGTGATTTGGTCGTCCTCTTCGACCAAGTCGAGGGCTTCTGGGATGCGCAGGTTGTCCTTGAAGCCGTCGCGGCGCACTTGAGAGAGTACCTCGATCATGTACTGCACGCGCTTGCTGATGTCTCCCTCGTAGAGTACTGCACGGAACCGATCAAAGATGCTGTTGTTGGCCTTGGGCGCCTCTTCGGCGAGGAAAGCGCCGACCTCGCGCATGAAACCGACGGCGATCTCGACGCTATCATCGGTGGGCTGTTCGAGCAGGAGGACGAGGATCTCGAGCGCCAGGACCTCGTGGACGACGCGCTGATTGACGAGATGAGCAATGAACATGGCGGTCGAGTTGCAGACGGTCTTGTCGTTGCGCTTGAATGATCGACGGAACTGCGAGACGAGCCGAATGACGAGGAGCTCTCCGACCATGGGCAGCTTGGTGTTGACGACGGCGGTGAGGGCGGCGAAGACGGGCGTGAAGGATAGCGAGAGCGCCTGTGCGCGCATGATGGAGCGGCAGTACAGACCGCGACCGCGGATAAGGTTGGAGCCGCCGAAGAGCTGGACGACGATGGTCTTGATGTTTTCGGCAGCGACCTTGTTGACGAGGCCGGTGATGCTCTTCTTGAGCGCGTCCCAGCTCATACGCTGGAACTCGACGCTTCCAGGATCCGCTGCGGCTGCTTCTGCCATCAAAGCCTTCAGGCGCGCGGGAGGGATGTAGGCTCCGCCGGCCTTGGTGGCAGAGAGTTTGGCCAAAGTGGAGCGGAGCGCCTCGCCTTTGGCTGCCACCTCCTTGGCCTTTGCCTCAGTTTGTTGCGTTGCAGCTGCCCGAGCAGACTCGTCGCGTTTGTCCGCGTCGTCATCGCTGCTGAATGAGGGCGAGCGACCTCTGGATGACTTTCTTCTGCGTGACCTCGGTGGCGGCGATCGCGATCTGGATACCGAGCGAGACGACCCGGTGCTGGCTGCAGACGGCGAGCGGCTGATGGGTCTCTTGCGTTTGAGCGCAGCGGCTTCATCGGGGGAGGCTGATCTGGTTCTGCTGCTGCTGCTGCTTGCACTCGAGCGCCCGTCGAGCGAGCGTTCACGCGAGGGCATAGCTCCGAAGGGCAGCACGGCAAGCTCGAATGGTGCCGGCAAGCGATCGCGGTCGGAGTAGTATATCGACGGATGCCAGCGTGTGTGCGCTTGTATCCGAGCCTGGCGTATGTGCGGAAGGCGAGAGGGATGAGGGTGGTGAAGAGGCGAGGGTCATCTGAAGAGCGAGCCGAGATGCATCCGCTCCACGGGAGCGCGTGGCCACCTCGCGACTGCGCCCCGAGCGAGCTGGTCTGCTGCGCTTTGCCTGGATTTCCACGCCTCGAGAATTTCTTGCAGCTCCAGGGGCCATGACCCGAGTCCCGAATTTCCCCCCGAGCCTTCTCAACGGCCTGCTGGACGGTGCTCGACGCAGACGCTACGGCAGGTGCACACGAGCATCCTTTCAGGCTTCGTTGCCTCCCTCAACAGTGTGTGTCAGGCTCAGCGGGACGGGCGATGTGTGAACAGCGTGAATGTGATTATGAATGGGCGTAGTAAGATGTAAAGTACAATACAAGTCGGAATCGGCGCGAGGAGGCGGCCGAGCAGAGATGAAACGGTGACGTTGGGCTCGGGCGAGTTCCGACATGCACTCAGGCAGCAATGCGACCTTGGAGAGTGCTGCATGCGTCTGTCCCGCTTTGACGGGTGCGGTCGATGCTAGGGCCGACCAAGTCCAATGCTTCGGAAGTGCCGAGCGTGCGCAGAGAGCGACGCAAACTGTCGGTCGGCGCTGATTCCAGGCCAGGATGTCAGCGCTTCGATCGGTCCGCTTCAGCCTGTTCGTACATCATCTTTTGGCGCTGCTCCAGCACCCTTCTCTTGTTGAAGTAGTCGACCTGAGTTCAAGAACGGACCAAAGGAAACAAAGCGTCAGTCCTCGCGATCCTTTCGGAGCTTCGCGCTGAGCATATCCGAGAGTCGGCGTAACGCGATCGCTTCGTAGGGCCAGCCTGCCTTCCAGCGTTTGCGGCACTTACCCAGCTTCGGGCGCAGTTGGCCTCGTATCCCTGTCGCGCCTCCAGGCATGGGTCCTGTTTCCGCGCTTCGTCGGCGGTATACGCCTTCTCCCTCTCGAGTGCCTCTTGCTCTTCCTTGGCGGCCTTTCCGATCGGACCTCGGCCATCGCTCATGTCGGTACCAGGAGGCACCCTGACTCCCTTTTGGGTCAAGCATGCAAAATAGACATCTCGATGCGACCAACAAGCTTTGCGCTCGTCCCTTGTGGGTGCCGGAGCGGGTTCAGTCGAGCCGGCCATCGTCGCTGTGTTGCTGTGTGCTCTGAGCTCAGTGCTGTGTGTCGTCGACGTTGAAGCAGTGCCGTGAGGCAGCGGGATTGCGATGTCCGAGGAGTGCGAGTGTGGATCGTGGCAATGGCCAGGAAGATGTCGCGCAGCAAGCCGCCTTTCGAGAAATCACGGAGGTTTCTCTTGTGGAGGAGACCTCCCGAGGCTTAGCCAAGTCTGCAAGCGCGTTGGGCTTGCCTCCGGATCCCTCCCTCACCGGCGCCAGTCTTCCCCCCGAACGCTCCCGTTTCGCGGGCGCTGGCCAAGCCTCGGCCGCCCAACTGGACCTTCCAACCTCCTTCATACCCCCCTCTTCCATCGCTGCACGACACTTTGCAGAGACTGGCTGCGAACGCACCAGATCAATCGAAGTCCGACAGTGACCATTTGCATGAACACGCTGTCGTCTACGTAGCCGGACGGGAGTATATATCCTGATTGATTGACAGCCCTCGAGGGTTTGCCGCGATGTGTCCCGCTACCCATACACACTACCTTCGTGCCTTCTACTGAGTCTTCCCTTCGAGCTTGCCCACTTCGAGCATACCGTCTCCAAGATGCGGTTCTTTGCCGCCATCCTCGCATGGACAATGTTCCTCCTGATCGTTCCGCATTACGCGGTCTACGCCGACATCGATGACAGTACAGATTTGTTCCTCACCTTCGGGACCGATGTCATGACCGACACTTCGCCCTATCCGTACCATCAGTCTGTCTCGGCCTGGTATGAGACGTTCTTGAAAGTAGCCGTGCGTTTTGAAATTCGCTCCTCGTTGACGACTCTTTCGGTCTCATTTGCTGGTCTGAGCATCGCGCTGTAACGAGATTGAAGATGCTGACATCAATGACCTGTCTGGTTCATGTCGGCGTTACAGTTGCAGCGCAAAGCGTGGCCAGTAGACGCCTACGCCGACGAGGCCGATTTTGCGCCCATCTTTGATCACCTCGTGGCAGCCTTTCCTGACGTTCCGGTCGCTGGCATTGGAGACGACGAGTGGGCAAGCCTGTTCCTACCAAAGGGCAACGAGCTCGTTGAGCGCGCCGATGCTCTGCGCTCCAGCGGTGCAATCCAAGAGGCAATCACCTACTACATGTGCGTCCCCTTCCTTCTCTCTGCTGGAAGGGCTCAGTGAGCGACTGACATTGGATTTCTCTTCGAGCCCGTAGGCGAGCCGCAAATATCTTCCGATTGGCGTACTTCCCTTGGGTCCACGAAGCCACCAGCGGGTCCAGAGCTAAGCTGACCGCGTGGGGGCTCGACAAAGCTGCGTTTCAAGCCGCCCTCGAGTATGTGCAAAGAAAGGGCTCCGTCGGAGAAAGAGGAGCGCGATCATCATTACTAACTTGGGGCCGACGTCAACAAGCCTGATGGGACTCTTCCAAAGCTTCAAGGCAGATCTCCCTCTCGCCACGCTCGCAGGCAGAGGCTCGAGCCAGCCAGGTGAGAATACGATTAGGTCGGCGCCAAGGAATCAAGACTGGAGCTAGACACACTGACGACAAATCCACGACGCCACGACAGACATTCCGCTCCGAGTCTTTCGTGCCAAGGGGCAGCGAAGAGCACAGCCGGTCGTTGTCATCATCACTGGCCTCGACCACTATCACACGTACATGCTCGAGAAGATCACCGCTTTGACATCGTACGGATATGCCGTGATCGTTGTTCCGATGCCTGGAACAGCCGACTCCCCCATCACGGGCCGCGATCCTCAGGTGGAGCAAGAGTATTGGGACAGCATTGTGGACTGGATCCACTCTCACAAGCGCCTCTTTCGCACGCACTGTGTCAGCTTTTGGGGCATCTCGACGGGCTCCTACTGGGCGGTGCGTGCCTCGCGCGTCGAGCAGCATCGCCTGCGCTCAGTCGTCAGCCAGGGCACCGCGAGTCACTACACCTTTACCAGAATGTAGGTGAACGGCCCCATTTGCTGGTCCAGGCCCGACGTGCAGCACGTACTAACGAGTTCATCGAAACGATGCACAGGTGGCTCGAAGCGGCCGAGGCGTTGCCTTACCCAGCCAGCCTACAACGCGCACTGAGTCAAGCCTTTGGCTACTCGGACCCGGAAGCGTTCAAGGACGAAGCCGACAAGTTTTCGCTTCTTCGCCAGGGTAAGTGGACGCAGGCCGCACCAGCGATGGACCAGCAGCGCTTGCTCACGACGCAAAAATCGTGTGTCATTGCATCTCAGGTCTGCTTGACCAGCCAAGTGCGCCCCTGCTTGCTGTCAACGGCGAGCGCGACACGATCTTCCCAATTGGTGAGTCTGAAGGGTGATCGGCATAGCCCGTAGCGTCGCGCTCACCCGTTCGACTCATCTGCCCTTCCGGCTTGCAAACAAACACAGATGACCAGCGCATCTTGGCCGAGCACGGCCCGGGAGCACGGCTTCGATGGTTCCCTCACATGGGACATAACGGCGAGCCGTTGAGCAGCGCATGGCTGATGGAGTACTGGAAGCAGCTCAGTGCTTGCTAGCCTCGCCCATGTCGCCGAGCGGGTTGTCGGCGCCATGGCACCAGCCGAGCGGTGCACCGAAGCAGCTGCCGCTGCTGTGTACGCATCTCCTCGCACCGGTACAATGAATTGAACTGCATTGGCATTATGTATTTGATCGTGAGACGGCCGACATCATCCAAAGAAGGATCCTCCACCGCTGGGAGCACCGCCCTGCGCGGCTTGGCCCATGGACTGCATGAGCTCATTGACCTTTCCGTTGACAGCGAAGAACTTGCTGACGCAGCTGTTGCGATCGGCGATACCCGGGACATGGAAGTATTTCTCAGTCAAGCCGGTTCAGTGTGCCATTCAGGCCTGTGGTTGAGGAAAAGACGAAGAGCTTACCGGTCGATGCAGATGCTTTCGCCCTTGTTGAGGTCGGGCTCGGCGTATCTTGTGGAGATGCACTTGGCGTGGCACGACGAGACGAGGCGGTTGAAGACGTCGGTGACCATCTCGAGTTCGGCGGTAGCAGCCTCGATCTGAGCCGAGCTGACAGCTGCGTTGTTTGCGGCAGGCGAAGAGCCGCCTCCAAGTCCAAAGAGCGACATGATGTTGACGAGGTCGAGTAAAAGGGCGGATGAGCGTACGAGGTGGAGAAATGAAGCAGCATCGAAGGCAAATTTGGCCAGTCGCTTCTCAGCCCGTTTGTCGCTCCGAATTCCGAGATTTCCTCCCCGGCCAAAAAGCTCGACGCTGGGCGCGCATCAAGAGTTGCCGACAGCGGCGAACCATGCCTTTTGACTTCTTCAACTCCCTCGTCATCTCAATCACCGGATCGTTAAAGGGTACACTGTTTCGGACGTTCTACGATATGACCAGCTTCTGCGATTAAAGCCGGATCTTGCAGGCGCAAGTACGTACAGACGCTCTGGAGTGCGAAGCGGCGGTCAATGTGAAATTAGCGTTGTGACGGGGCTTTGGTATTTATGGGGAGATGCAGATGGTGATGCCGAATGCGGTGGAAACTAAGAAGGGTACTTCTTGAAGCCGTTCGAAGCCGTTCAGGCGACCTGAAGAGGGTTGGCCTTGTTCTTCTCCTGCTCGCCGGGGAGCGCCGAGGGCGAGTTGCTCCACTCGCCCACCTCGCTTGCCTGGCCGCTGTCCTTCTCCTTGATCTGGTCGCGCGACGTGTAGCCGGCAGGCACCCACTTTGTCGAGTGCCACGCCTTGCAGTTGGGGTCGTTGTACATGGCATCGACGTCCTCGAGAGTGAGGTCGGCGGATTCGTAGACAAAGAAGTAGGCGACGAGCGTGTTGGCCAAGTTGCATCCGGCGAAGACAAAGCCGTAGGCAAAGTTGATCTCGGTGGCGATGGGCGAGCTAAAGTACGAGATGAGGAAGTTCGAGACCCAGTTGGCAAGGGTGGCGAGCGACGCCTGCTTGGCACGGGTGCGGTAGCTGAAGCTCTCGCCGATCCAGACCCAGATACCGGGAGCCCAGGTGGAGGCGTATCCGAGAATGAAGAGGCACGCAGAGACGATGAGCAGGTTGCCGACGCCCTTGGAGATCTGGTCGGGCTGGGGACCACCGACGACACCGGCGATGGCAAAGACGAAGAGCCAGAACGACTGCCAAGCAGCACCGTAGATCAGAGGCCAGCGTCGACCGAAGCGCTCGAGGATGTAGAGACCGAGGAAAGTGCAGGCAAAGTTGACGGCGCCGAGGATGATCTGAGTGACGAACGAGTCGCTCAGGCCGACCGAGGTGAAGATGGCAGTGCCAAAGTAGAAGAAGTAGTTGGCACCGGTGAACTGCTGGCCGGCCTGCAGCGTCATGCCGAGCAGGGTTCGGTAGAGCGTCTTGTTTCGAGGCTTGAAGCAGTCGATCCAGCCGGCCTCCTCCATTCGTTCGTCGGCCTTGACCACGGCGATGATCTCGCGGTACTCGGCCTCGACCCAGGGGTTGCCATCGCCATACTTGGCGCCACGCACCGCCGCGCACGACTTGTAGGCCTCTTCGTTGCGGCCTCGGGCAGCGAGCCAACGGGGCGACTCCGGGCAGAAGAGAATGCCGACGGCGAGGATCGTGGAAAAGAAGATGCCGAGGGCGATGGGCACGCGCCACTCGCCCGAGTTGCCGTAGTTGCGGGTGCCGATGTTGGTGCAATAGGCCAGCAGAATGCCGAGGGTGATGAAAAGCTGGTAGGTACCGACGAGGGCACCTCGGACTTGGCGCGGCACAGTCTCGGACTGGTAGAGGGGCACGGCGGCGGAAAGGGCGCCAACACCGAGACCGGTGACGAGCCTACCGATGGCCACCTGGTACCAGGCGGTGAAAGAGGTGACCTGGATGATGACACCAATGTCGAAGATGATGCACTCGACGACCATGGCCCATCGTCGACCGAGCGAGTCAGCCAGAGGAGCGCCGATCATGACACCGATGGCCGTTCCCACGCTGAGGAGCGAGACGACGACGCCTTCGAGCCACGGGTTCCAGTCCTTGCCGCCGATCGCATCGGGGTTGTCGACGGTGGCGAAGCGCTGACGGAAGTCGGCCATCTGGGTGAGACCGGAAATCTGACCCGTGTCCCAGCCGAAGAGGAAGCCACCCATGGAGGCGAGCATGGCGATGAAGAGGGTGAGGGCGCCAATCGGCGTGCCTCGCACCTGAAAGACCATGATGTTTGGATGCTACTAGGCGAGCTGCGCTTGAGGTAGGAGGACGTTGAGCAGAGTCGAGGGCGGAAGACCTACTTGCTTGCGGCGCACACGATCAATACGCGAGCAATCGAGACGGAGGGGGGCGGTACTGCACAGGAGGTACGACTACGCCCAAGGGCCGAAGGGAAAATGCCAAAGTTCGAAGGACGGTGTGGTGGGGCAAAGAGATGGCGGAGCGGGGTACGTGTGAGGTATTTATGATCATCAGCCGCGGGAAGCAAGACGTCCTAGCGTCATCGAGGTGCTTTCGGAGACAACCTTGCGCAGACCACAGCCGGTGTGCATGTTCGGCTGGCAGCGGCCGGGGGAGAGGGAAGACAGGGAGAGGGAGAGAGAGGTCAGATTGAGGGCCCGGCTTGACTGCGAGCGAGGTGGGCCCACTACACCCTCTTTTCTCTTTGCTTTTTTTTTTGTCTTCGGCTGATGTCCAGTGGCCATGCTCTCGGCTGGAGCGGCATCGAGCGTCAAAGACTTGGCAGAGGGCGAAGACTGGAGCAGACAGAGCAAGCTCGGCGCGCATCCAGATGGGCTCACGGAAGTGGCAGCCGGATCCAGCGAATCACACATCCGCGTAATGTCACAGGACATCCACACAGGACATCCACACAGGACATCCACACGAGCGCGCCCACGCATTGAGCCAAAATGACAATGTGGAGCGGAGGCTCGAGGCGCCGCGCCGCGCCGCGCCGCGCCGCACCTGCGCTGCCAAGCTGCAGCTGCTGCAGCGCGACGGCAGCGGCAGGGCATGCGCGAACGGAGAATTTTTTGTGGGTTTTTCGAGCTCCGCATCGGAAGCCACGCTTGGCCAGGCAGTGGCTCGAGGCATCCTGCCTGGCGCGACTGTCCGCCGCCTCCCTCGTCAGACGGGAGTGCCGCGCCTTGGCGGTTGACCTCGGTGACGACAGAGCGGCTCGACGGGAAGTTTGCATTCGGACTTTTGACCGGCCTGCCGCCTATGGCCTTTGGCTGTCCCTTCCATTTCCCTAACCCCGAAGGTCGACCATCCCTCCGTTGGGCGTGCCTCAAGGGTGTGGCCCCTGATCCTCCGAGTGAGTGCCCACGGGGGCCCGTCTTGCTACTGACAAGTGGGGCCCTCTTTTTTTCTCTCGCTCTGCAGATACCCCAAAGCCGTGGCCGCGACGCTGCACGGCACTGCGCTGCACGATCAGCGCTCGCTGCATCGCTCGGCGCGGGGCTAAGATTGAGCAAGTGCGCGAGCATGCGCGCAAGGCTGAGCCACCCCACTGTCTTTTTCGCTCAAAGTCTTCCGAGGGAAATCTTCAGAGAGAGAGCCTTGTTCCATGGAGTCTTCTGTGTGGAATAGGCTTAATTTGACGACGCCGGCACCTTTCCGTCGCTGTCTGCGCCGAGCGAGTCGCGTCGAGACGCTCTCTGCGCTCGGTTCAAGAAGCTGCCTGCCATTGTGAGCCTAACCTTGATCGTAGCGAGTCGATCAGGCTCGACATTGACCGAAAAGACCGTCGATCGGCTCACCAGTCCCGGCAGTACCGGCCATCTACTCCACCAATGCCACGCATGAATTTCAGGAACGTCGGGAGTCGGCTCGCTGACATGCCCTCCAACGGTGTCCGAGGCGAAGAGCCATATCCGCAGAGCCTTTACGGCGACCGGAGATGCGTTCCCGAGCAACCATCCTCGCCCCACAAGAGACGGGCGCGCAAGGCATGGCATTGCCGGACCTCTGCTTCCACTGCCTTCCTCATCGGCCCTTGTAATGACGCTCAAATCGAGACGGAGACGTCTGCTCATCCTTCTGAGCCAGCAGACTTCCCGACAGGACACGCAGTTGGGGCCAAGCTTCTTGGCCGTGACTAGAGGCCGAAACAGGCTGAGCGAGTCGACCTGCAAGTTACCTGCCATCGGAGTGAACATGTTCATTGCTTGAGAGGCAGCGACAGTCATGCGGGATGCTTAATTTTCGATTTCCGCAAGGGCGCCAGAACGGATCGGCCAAACAAAGCTGCGTGCTGCTGGCCTGCAGCTGCGATCCATGATGCCAGACGGAAGAGAGAAAAAATGAACATGCGACGCGCCAGTGATGCAAGACCATGGCAACAGCCTGACATCATCGCACATGGTCGTGTGTCAAACCTCGGATGCAGCTCGAGCTCCTGGCGAACTCGACCGCATGGCACCAAACTGCACGGCGATCGGTCCAGCGGGCCCCAGAATGAATCGCAGTCTCTGCACGACCATGTGCAACGTGGAGCAAATTACCATGTCGGTCTTGGTCGGCCGGCCGCCAGTCGCTTCATGATACGGGCACCAAGCTCGAAGCGAACAAGACAGCTTCATCTGAGCCAATGTGAGAGTCAGGTACGGTGTGGCTGTCCAATGAGCCGTCGGGGGGTGGTCGCGCCAAGCTCGGTGTGCCGCTGTGATGTCCTCTCTGTGGCACTTTCTCGATTCAACAAGATCATGTCGGGCAGGTTTGTCGGAGACACCCCTCGGTTCCTGACTGGCTTTCAAGAGAACGCAAGCAGCTCACGGATGTGCACGGCAGCTAGGTGTAGAAGTCGGAGAAGAACGGAAGTCTACTGGAGCTGCTTCCGCTGGCAGGTCGGGTCTTGCGTCAGCTGCCTGCCGAGATATCCGCAAGCGAACCATGCCTTCGCCGTGCGCAGGCATCTGTCGCGGATTTGCGGTACCCATTGTGAACTCCTCAGCATGATAGTAGCTTGTCGTGCACTGTCTTGCAACAAGCATGTCTTCCCAGAACTTCACGCGGCACGAGGATCTGGGCAGGATTGCTGCTTCGGCTTCGGATTGGACTGGGCTGTTGAGAACGATGTGCAAATAGAGACGAGGCGTGATCGCTTGGATCAGGGAGCAAGTTGCCGACTTGGAGAGGTCGAGTCGCCCCGATGGATCGGCAGATGCGGTCAACGACACGTGATGCAGACCGAGCTGCGGGGCCTAGCATGAAAAGATGGAGCTCCCTCAGCGGGGCAGACAGGCATGTGGAAAATTTCCAGTCGAGCGGAGCGTGCCTTTTTGTTTGCACATCTCGCCCTGGCCCTGGCCCTGGCCCTGAGGATCTGCCAGCAGGACACGCGCTACCGTTCAGAAGCTGCACTGAAGCTGGCTTGCTCCTCTCGTCCGGTGCCCAGGGTCGAGGTGCGACAGGCTCTGCCGCATTCGCTCCCCGACGATGAGTCGTTGTCGCCATACCGTATCTTCCTCCCCCTTGCAAAGGAGCGCTGCGACCCATGTAGCATGCCTCGGGAGTTGGCCCGCAGCTGCATTTGGAATCGAGCCTGCACCGGCTATTCTGTTTTACGCGTTGGATCTCGCCCTCGCTGCTGTGGGGATGGGCGCTGAAAAAGCGATCGGTGTTGAATTTCCCAACCAGCGGCGAGCGGCGCCCAGCGACCCCTGCGCGCTTGCGATGTGACCAGCGTCCAACCCACCGTGGGACGCAAGGGCGATCTGATGGATCGAGCCTCAAGTGAGGGCGGGGTGAGGAGGGGGGTGCCGTCAGGGCGGATGGGGTTGCATTGCACGCAGCCAATCTAGCAGGACAAAGTGGCGCCCAAAGCACGCATTCCATCCTTCCGTTCGAGCAGGAGCGCCGTCGGACCTTCTGTGTTCGGTGCCTGTTCTGTGCCTGCCACCCGAGGATCGCTTGACCAGGCCGTTTGGGCACGGCTCGCCTCGTCTCAGGGCGGCGCTCTGCAAGCCATTCGGAACACCTTCATGCCTCGCAGAAGGGCAACGCAGCCCTTCGCAGCCGAGTCCACTAGCACGTCCCACTCTCCTTCGTCACACTCACACAGTCACCACCGACGCCCGCCTCGCTCGAGCTCTCGCCTTCGCACTTGGCTCCTCTGCGAGGTGAGCACAAGAGTAGCCGCCGGGCAGAGGTCGAAAATTGAGAAATTGCAGAAATTGCGAAGGGGACATGCAAGACCACCTGGGAGCTCGAAAGGGCGCGCAGCCATCCGAAAGCTGCATGCGCAGCAGCCGGTCGCAGGCGGCACAAGGCACGAGCAGCATCGATCCGAGCGTCTGCCTGGCATGAGTGACCGGTGAGCTGTAACTGACCGGCGCTGAAAGGGTCGATCTGCTGCTTCTGCTGCTGCTGCGTGTGAGTCGCGCGCGCCTGTTCGCTAGGACACCCTGTAGTCAGGGCGGCGAGTGGTTGTTGTGCATGTGTTCTTGCCCTGACTAGCTTGCTGCACTAGAGAGGCCAGGGCGGCGGCGTGCCTGAAGCATGGAATCTCGGCGGATCCAGCCTCTTTTCACCACCAATCATCGCTCCGCTCGCCCACGCCCTCGCGCGTTCCACATTCACCCTCCCCACCCTTTCTCCACTCTCCGCTCTCCACTCTCCACCAACTTCAGCTTCGATCTCGACCTCTTGCTCTTCGATCCTGCTTTTTGTCCGACCCCAAATTCCTGTCCGCAGCGTCCGAAGCAGCCTTGACTGCAAACGACGCAACCACAGCTAGAGCAGAATCTATCGCAGCGACAGGTCCGAGGACTTTCGCCGTTCGTCACCCGCATTCGCAGCAGCCGCCTCCTTGCGAACAGGTGGTCTTCCCGCTCTCCATCCGGCCTTTCTGCTGCAGCATCGAGGTTGTCAGTCGCTCTGGACCGTGCCGCTCCCGGAACGCCCCAACTTTGCGTCGGTCTGGTGGTTGTGCGCAGCTTAGCTTTCGACGTTAACCTTGTTTCGCGTGCGCGTGCGCATCGTCTGCACCCGGGCCCGTCGGCTTCTCCGTCGCACCACGGTGTGCCAAGACCTGCATCTTGCTCAGTCTCAAGGTCCCCTTCGGCACAGCACGTCCGTCCGCAAGGCTCGCCGCCTCCGACAGCGACTCGACAGACTCGGCCTACCTGCGTCGGCTTGCCTTGACCGGTGTGCGCTGCGACGTGACCATTCTGCTCCCGCGTGCTTGCTCAACCGCTCGCTCGTCTCCGAGTCACTATCCAACCTTGCATCCGCCACCTTCTGCGCTCACTCAAGCTTCGACCCGAGTGCCAGTGCCAGCTAGGCTCGCCCAACGCGTCGGCCCGTCCGATTCCGCCTGCCGTCCGAGCGCATCAGATTGCAGAACACCCATCCTTGCTCAGGCCTCTCGCCCTCGCCCTCGTCCTTCAGCCTTGCGTCTGTGGACCAGTGCTGCCCCTTTCATCCGGTCAATCGGAGCCTTGGACCGCTCAGCAAGCGTTCGAGTGCTCGAATGCAATCAGCCCCGTGCGACGCCGTCACCTCTTCCCTTCTCTCGTTCTGCACATCTGTTTGCGACCGCACTCTCTCTCCGAATGCGACACGCGTAGCAGCCTCCGATCAGTCGCAGCAGCACCGTTCGGTTGACCCTAACGCGCCTCGCTGGTGATCCAAGAGAACCACCAACTGAAGCATCGCCGTGTAGCTCATCCTTCAGTCGCAAGCATCCATCCTTCTCGCGCATCCATCATCCACTATCCGCCCATCATGGAGACGGCTTCGTCCTCGCAGCAGTCGGGGTTCTTTTACCACGACCCGCGCCAGCATCAGACGCCTCCTAACCTCGGCATGAATGCCAACTTTCAGCAGGTCCGATCCGACCCGTACGCCCCCGCGTCCCTCGTGCCACATACTTCTTACCGCGAATCTGGCTATGGCGATGGCAGGCCGTTCGGATTTGCACCAACCACCGAGCAGGAGGCGCGTCCTCAGTACCACGATGCGCCAACAAACGCTGCCCACACTTCGTACGCTCCTGGAGCCAGCTACATGTCTCATCCAGCAAGCATGGCGGGCCCCTCCGCCTTCGTCACGCCCGGCCCTATCAACGGCCATGTCCATGCTGCACTCGGTCCCCCGACGCACTCGGCTCCCGACGAGGCTGCCGATCAACAAGGTCCTCGCAACAAGCGAGCTCGCAAAGAGTCGCCCGGCCGCAAGGCCGAAGCCGCCGACACCAAAGATGACAGCTCCTCCGACGACCCCAACGGCCAGAAGTCCGAGGGAAGCGGCAACGTCACCATGTTTCAGTGCCGCGGCTTCGGCGATTGCCGCATGGTCTTTACCCGAAGCGAGCATCTCGCACGTCACGTGCGCAAGCATACGGGCGAGCGGCCGTTCCGATGTCACTGTGGCAAAGCCTTTTCTCGCCTCGATAACCTTCGCCAACATGCACAGACCGTGCATGCTGACACTCCGGATCGGAACGAGATGATGATGCAGGAGCTCTCGTCCCTCCACGCTTCACTTGCACAATCAGCCGCCCAAGCCCAGCACGCCCACGCCCAAGTCCTCGGCAAGAGCAGCTCGCCCGGCGCCTTGATTGCGAGCCACAATCACACTGGACGCCGCGGCAAAGGAGGAGGAAAGACGAGCGCTGCGAATAGAGCTGCGCGTGGCGGCGGCAACGATCGCTCGGGGTCTCCCGTGACCTCCAATCCAAACGCGATCCATGCTGCCCAGCAGAACTCCCAGGGCATCTACGAGCCCAATCCGTACCCGTCAGTGTACGAGTCTGCAGATCCGCCAGCCTCCGCTCCTCCAGCCACTGCCTTCTCCACGCCCGGTCATCCAGCGTCGATGCCCATTTGGTCGAGTCATGATCCGCAGTACGTGCAACAGGGCGGCCAGCCTGTCGGCTTTGGTGTCTCGATGACCCCAGGTGCCCCTGGACAGCCTTTCGAAGTCGCACCGCATCCGTCCCAGCAGCAAGCCGCACACTTTGCATCCAATTCGGGGTCAGCCCTTCGCCAGGAACAAGCGACGGAGTTCTTGGCGCCGCATTCGAGCTATCACGACGAAGGCCTTCCGCCCGGACATCCATCGTATATGCCGCCCTACGATGCTTACCGTCGTCAGCCGCAAGAGCTGGAGAGGCGGCCGTCAGCCAATATTGCTGACGCTTCCTCACTCTCTGCGCAAGCCTGGCGAACAAACGGCCCGCCCCTGGAAACAGCTCTTGCCGGCAGTTACACGGGCGCTGAATTCGAGGCTGCAGAGGGTCATACCCAACGACCTTCCTTTTCCAACCCTTTCTGGCGCAACTCGACTGGCGGTGGGGCCGTGGCCAGCGACGACCCGTACCCTGCTCACTATCCAGCGACGGAGTTGGCTGCTGGCGACTCCGACTCCAGGTCGCAGTACGAATCCACCCTGTCGGCTCATCTTCACATGCGCACTCCTACTTTGGCAAAGCGCGCCAGAGCGAACAGCCCTCCGCCTTCACGCGGAAGCATCCGTGCGTCGCTCGATGCAGGATCCGCTCCACTTCTGCCTCCACCAGGGAGTGCGCACGGACGACCTTCCAGCAGCGCACAAGGCTCGCGGCCGCTCACCTCGCAGAACCGTCCCGTTCTGCCTCCTCTGTCGTCCATCACGCCGAGCGCGAGCAGACCGGGAACGGCTGCAGCTATGGGCGGCAGTCGTCCCGGCTCCATGGCAGCGCAAAGGCTTCCGAGCATCGACCAGCAGCTTCTCGCAACATCCGCCGAGCTCGACCGTGTCGACGAGGCGCAAGCGAGCAGCAGCTACCGTCCGTATACGAGCCCCGCCGGCGCCTTGGCTGGTGATGCCGTCCAAGGGCCGAAGCCTTTCCTGCCGCCTTCCTCGCTTCGATCCGCTCGGCCATCGCTCAGCCAGCGCGGCGATGCGCGATTTGGCAACCCTCCTGACCTGACAGATCGGCCGAGCACGACGTCCACCGCCGCGAGACCGAACGACCGACGTCCGCTCACCTCGGGCGGATCGATGGTCGGTCGGCCACGCGGCTCGATCCAGGCAGGCGGTGACGATCTGCCCCCGCTTTCATCGACTCTGGCGCTGCTGGACGAACGACGAGAACCACGCATCGCTTCCGAACGCCGAGGCTCGGCCTTCGAGCTGTCCAGCACGTTTGTCGGAGACGAGGGACGTCGCTCCAGGATGGGCTCCTCTTACGGTGTACGTGACGACGAAGCGCACCCCAGACTGCAGACTGACAGCTCCGAGCTTCGTACGAGCCCGGGCAACAACGCTTCGCCGTTCATGTTCCAGCCTCCGCCCCTACCACGCGAGAGCAGCGCAAGCTCGTGGCGGCTGTCTGTGGACCGCAACGGCGCTGGCTCAGGTGCAGATTGGCGACGACCCAGCTCGAGCACTGCACCGGACGCGCATGTCATTTCTCGCCGGCTCGGTTCCAGCAGCGGAGCCACGCTCGGGTTCGGCCTACGCGAAGACGGCGGTGGCTCGAGACCAGTCTCCGGCAGCGGACGAGCTGCGGGTGCGAGCCAACTCCAGCTGCCTCCGCTCAGGACAACGCAGGGATCTAGCCGACCGGGCTCGAGCGCCGTCGCTTCGATGCTGCAGAGCGAAGAGACGCGGCCGTCATCTCAGAGGTCTACATCGTGGTCGCGACCACTCACGTCGGGAGACGCGCCTGCGCCGCGCTTCGGCAGCAACGGCTTCGCGCGAATGTCTTCGTCCCGGGAAGGCGCCTCGAGCGACGGCGAGGACGAGCTGGGCGATCGACGTCGGTCGTTGGTCCATGATCTGCGTGGACCAGCGCGCGAAGAACTCATGCGACGGCCGTCGACGTCGGCTGGCGCAGGCTCGACCCGCTTTGCACCGAGGTATCACGAGCGCAACGGCTCCAACAGCCCGCTCTCTCGACGCGACGACGTCTGATGCTAGACATGCCCACCGCTAGAATTTGTGGTGCTTGCAGAACACCCTCCTTGACCTTGTCACTCAATTATACAACAATACGATTCGGTAATCGATACACAATCACAAGTGCTCTGGAGCTTGATGCCGAGGCTTTATGATATCCCTGCGAGCATCGGGTTGAGATTGCAGGGACCATCATTTGGAGGCGACTTTGAGATTCTTGAAGCCCTGCATGCTCTCTTCCAAGGCGGTCTCGACGGGAAGACGCTCCATGCTGGATGCACCGTAGAAGCCGGCGAGGCCAGGCACACGGTCGAGCACGTATTGGGCGTCTTGGGCGCTGGCAACGGGCCCGCCATGTACGAGGACCATGGTGTCGGGAGAGATGGAATGCACTTTGGCGGTGACTGTCGAATGGTTCGCGAGACAATGTGAGTTGAATTTCACGATCTGTACTCATACCAAAGTGAGAAGGGAGCAACTTACTTTCGGCGGTGAGCTTGACGGCGTCGTCGAGGGTCATTGCTGTTTTGGCACCAATGCTGCCGCTGGTGGTGAGGCCCATGTGGGCGACGCAGACGTCGACGCCGACGGAGGCCATCTGCTCAGCCTCGTGCGCGTTGAAAACGTACGGTGTGGTGAGCAGACCGAGCTGTTTGGCCTCGCGCATGAGCTCGACCTCCTTGTCGTATCCCATGCCGGTCTCTTCGAGATTCTGTCGGAAGTTGCCGTCGATGAGGCCGACCGTGGGGAAGTTCTGAACGCCCACAAAGCCGATCTCCTTGAGCTGACGCAAGAACTTGGGAATCGATCGGAACGGATCCGAAGCACATACACCGGCGAGGACGGGCGTGTGCTCGATGACGGGCAGCACTTCAGCCGCCATCTCGACCACGATCGCATTTGCATCGCCATAGGGCATCAGACCCGCCAACGAGCCTCGACCCGCCATTCGGTAGCGTCCCGAGTTGTAGAGGCTGTCGGAGCACGATCCGTCAGCGAAAGCTCCTCGATCGACTGACGCATTCACTGCACTCACATGATCAAGTCGGCCTACATGAAGAGCCGATCAGTGAGGCAACAAGCGAGCATCATCAGCAAAGTCGGCAACGCTTGAGTACTAGACCGACGCTCGCAATGCACTTACACCGCCTTTTTCCACAAATTTGGCCGTCCTGTCGAGCGTTTCAGACGTTGAGGTGGAGAGGTCGAGGCACGTCTTGTCAGCGGCTACCTCACTGTGACCATCCTACACGGCTACAAAGGGCTTACAATCCGATACCGGCTCCCGATCCGATGATGGGCTTGCCGCTTTTGAGTGTATCACGCAGCCTCTGTGCGGCTTCCCGGCCGTCCTTGGGCTGGCTGGCGTAGGTCATCTTTGCTGGCTCAGATACCTATGGTCAAGCCGCTTGGAGTTGGTGGAGGAGCGCTTGCTTGCAACTCCAAATCCTCGGCTTGGCTGAGTCGAAGAAGCTTTTCAGATTCAAAGCCAGTCCTTGCCCCGTGCGTTCCTCCACATCCTTGTCGCCGGCAATTTGGAGCAGGGTCCTGCAGGTGGCTCGAAGGTTGTCGTAACGGTGCAGTCAGCCAAGCCAAGGTTGCTTCCTCAGCACCTTCACGATCGTCCTACGAGCCCAGCGCCTCGAACACTGGCATTGGCGCAATGTCGAGCGATACGAGACCGCTGGTCGCCTTGATCGGCACGCTCGACACGAAACAGGCCGAATATCAGTTTGCGACCACATGGCTTCAAGACCACGGCTGCAAGGTTACGGTGTTGGATGCTAGCACCCGCGACGCGCCAGAGGGCTCTGCATCCGGCTCCTTTGAGGTAGGCACAGGGTCCAAGCTATACCGAGCCAAAGAGCTTCTCGAGGGCCACTCGTCTCGCAGCAGTGATCAGTCTCCGCCGACCGAGCGAGATGCCGTGAGGGACGCGCTGCAGAGCGCCTGCCTGCACGAGCTGGGCGAGCTGCAGGCCCAAGGAGCCGTCGATGCGATCGCTTCATTCGGCGGTAGCCAGAACACGGCGTTTGCCACTTCCATCATGCGCGACTCCAGGTTCCCTATCGGGCTGCCCAAGTTCATGCTCACCACAATGGCAAGTGGCGACGTCAGCGAGTATCTCGGCGAAAGCGACATCTGCATCATGCCCTCGGTCGGAGATATCTCTGGCTCCCTCAATGCCATCACAAGGACCACGCTGCAGAACGCTCTGGCCGCCATATCAGGCATGGCGCATACCCACCTTGCGTCTAAGCGCGCGGACACCAAGTCGGAGCTCGGGCAGAAAGACCACAGACCATTGGTAGCGATCAGCATGTTCGGCGTCACTACAGTCGGTGTGAACCAGATCTCAGATCTGCTCAAGGACAAAGGCTACGAGCCTGTCGCGTTCCATGCGACCGGATCGGGCGGCCGTACCATGGAGAGGCTGATCCGTGAAGGCTTCTTTTGCGCAGTCATCGACCTGACCGTCACCGAGCTGTGTGATCACCTGTACGACGGCGTCCTCTCCGCTGGACCAGACCGCCTCACAGCTGCTGCAGCATACGGCATCCCACAGGTGGTCTCTCTCGGCGCACTCGACATGATCAACTTCGGCTCCCTTTCGAGCCTGCCGTCGCGATACGAGCTCGAAAAGTCGTCCGAAAAGGGCCCCATGCACCACACCAAGGATGGAGCGCAGGTCTACGAACACAACAGTCAGGTGACGCTGGTCCGCACGTCTAGCCATCAGTGCAGAGAGCTCGGCGCTTTCCTGGTCGGCCAGCTTGTCAAAGGATTGGAGCGCCTTGGCCGAGACAAGGCGGCGGCGCCGATCCGCATCTTGTTCCCCCAGGCTGGAATTTCCGCGATGGACGGCACCGACGGCGTGTGGGATGATCCGGAAGCCAGAGACGCCCTGCTGGATGGGGTCCAGGGTGCGCTGCAGGAACATGCTGCCAGTCGGGACATAAAGAACACCATTCAAGTCGTGACCAAGGACAGCCACATCAACAGTCCCGAGTTCGCTCAAGCTGTCGTGGACGAACTGTTAAGCATCATCTAGGAGCAGTGTTTGCCCATCAATGCACCTTCTCGCCTCTCTTTTGTCGTCTTGATCTCTGACGCGGGCTTGGGACACGTCCGTCGAGGCAGCAAGATGTGAAGGGACCCTGCATGAAAGCTTCTTTCGCGAAACAGGCCGGCTCAGGTGCGGCGATTTTGCCTCTAATTTCGTCTCCTCAATAATATTTGCCGCCCTTCTATTGCGAAATGAGTTCGGAGTTCGGAAGTCGGGAACCCACTTTAGCTCCACGGCTCCAAATCTTCTGGTGTCTCTGAGACTCGTTCCTGCCCACGATGGTGTCACTCATTGGACACACACGCTTCGTTGCACAGCAGAACGGGACCCCGGAGCCATGACCGAAGGGCACTGGCAATTTCAGAGATGAAGGCGAGATGTCCCCCATCCGCAAAGGCGGCGGCGGCCTCATGGACGCACACATTCGCCCACCCGCCTACGCCTACCCGGGTGGTCACGGCAGGTACCTCCCGTCTACACGCCTTTTCGACCATAACGACAAGGTCATCGACTGCTTCAATGAGTGGTCGTGTCTCGATGCAAATGGACTCGCCCCAACTTGCAACACGACCTGATGAAGCGCTCGTCACATCACTGGAGCGACCACGTCAACGTCCTCCCTGGGTCCGCCTCAATCTCGAAGACACTGTCCGAATCTTTGCTCCGGGCGCAAGCACATTTCCTTTCACCGAAGCAAATACCCTCGAGGATACACTCGTCGGACTGGCTGCATATTCTCCGGGAAAGTACGCAGCTCTGGCGTCGAATCACGAACGGATGCGGCTCATCCTGAAAGCATTCCTACGGCGAAGCTCGCTCAGCGAGGCCGATTGGGTGGCTATACGAAACGCGATGCTCTGTAAAAGCTGGTCCGATGCGCGCAGATATATGGTCAATACCGACGATTCGGCCTGGCCGCTCTACGTGCTGCGTCGCGCCGTGTCCAAGGTGGCGACTCCGTCCGAGGCATCCGACGCTTTGGCGCTGCTAGCCTTGACCGTCCAACGCGTGGCGAGCTTCAGCACTGATCTGCGGTGGGAATCCTATTCCTACCTGACTACCAGCTTCGCAACGATATCGTCCTTCTGCTTCAGCGGAGACGGCAGGGCTTGGCACCTAGTTCCGCGACTCGGGGATGTCCTCTCGACCATGATCAGCGCCTTTCCCAACGAGATGCCCAAGCACAGAAGCTTCGTCTTCGATTTCACACGACGATGCACTCGGTTGGCGGACGAGAGGGCTCGAAACGCCATGATTTGCGTTCTCGAAAGCTTGCAGGGCGATGGACAGCCCACCAAAAGGATCGCCGATGTTCGCAACGAAGTGATTCAGATCGTCGTCGGCCGCATCGAGATCGCACTGACCAAGAGCGCGGGCAAGACAGCCGCGTCCGAGCAGTTCGCCAACACGGAGCTCATGGACCTCCTCACCGAGCAGCATGTGCCGCAACACTCTCCGCTCGAAATGCGCGCCCTGCTGAGCGCCGTCGCCGTTGCCGGGAGGAACCGCGACTACCGACGCATCCGACACTACTTTGACCGACTGGAGCAGTGCAAGCAAGAGCTCGACATTCGGGTGGCTGCGACCGACTACCTCGAGCTGGCCAAGGCGCTAGTGCGGACCGCGCAGGGGTCGCACGATGCTATGGAAGCGTTGCAGCAGGCCGAGAGGCTTCTAGCCGCTGAATACGAAGATGCCGATATGGAGGCACTGCCCGAACCCGCCAAGAGAAGGCTCAACCACGTCTGCCTTGATATGCTCCAAGTCATGGCCAAAACGCCAGAGGTGCACCTGCAAGAGGCCCTATCATTACTTGGAATCTTTGTGCGCGGATCTGGTGCCGATATGGAAGGTGAACGGGGCGAGACGCATCCTCTCATGTCGCAAGCATTCAAGCAGCTCCGCGGCGACGTCTACGCGTACACCATGATGATGCAGGGTTGCCTCT